ATAACAGGAGATTTAGTTCTCACTAGTAGTTAATACTACTCAAGTGTGTGGTAAATACCATCAACCAATTGGATTCTCCATGCACCCAATTCAACCCTAACTCTTTGCAGCAGACTTAACTGAATCCTATTATTCAATCCTGAACCAGTCAGGTAAAAGGAGGGGGTAGAAGTAGCTTTGTGCTTCTCCCTGGCTTCAGCTCCTTTTGGCAACTGTAAGTTTTAAAGCTTGCTTATTCTTTTAAGACATCTATATTTTGTGTTTATTTCAGAGATTTTAAGAGACTTAAAAAGTATATATGCTGCTTCTTGGTTTCAGTGAACAGAAGATTGATCCAAGCTTAGGATGAAGACTTTTAACAAAGAACTTCATTCTTTGGAATTGCATGTTGTGGTGAGGCCTTCCGCAGGGCTGCAAATGAAGCTGGTCTATGGTTTCAACTGACTTCTTTTAATGTGTTGAAGTTTTAGAGGAAGAAAGAAGGGAGTTGCAGAGCTCTTTCAAAACAAACATAAACAATGTTCTGCAGTTTTGTGTTGGTTTTAGAAATAGAGGCTTATTAAAAGACACTCAAGACTATCAGTTTTCAGGAAAATGGAAGAGCAGGCTGCTGAACTACTTAACACTGAGAAAGAATGCTTACAGCTCTGTCTGGAAAGATAACTGTCTTATGAAGCTGGCATTTAAAGCTGTCCTGAAGTTACCATTTGAGTCTGTCTCAGACAGAAACCTTAGAGAAAAGGTTTCAATGCACTCAGCAAAAAGTGGAGGTGGAAGGCAGTAGAAGAGTATTTTGGGACACAGCAGGCTAGAGGCTCTCTGGAGCTTTTTGATAATCTGGGTGTATGTTAACAATAGTGAGTTAAGCATGCAGAGCAAGCTAGCTGTTTCTGACTTAACACAAGAAGTCAAAACTTTAGAGGCCGAGACACGCTAACAGTGAAATTGCTGAGCTACATGCAAAGGGACAAGCTTAATTAGCCTGTCCTCTTGCCTGTAGGAAATTGGCATTTGGAAAAGGCCTTTCCCATTTCCTCTGGCATCTCATTCACAGGGAGTGCAGCTTCCCAGTCAGTCCTGGCATCCACAGCAGCCCAGCTGGCAGCTCAGAGGATGGACTGAACCACTGGTACCCACTCATTTCATTCATCCTGCTCTTCACAAGAGCAATCTGTAGCCCTTGTTCTCTGCTCTCAAGGGGCACAGGAGGTATTAGATTAAGTTTCTTTTGTAAAATTCTCCTGCAAAGGCTTGGGTCTTCACAAACACTGCATGCTTGCCACACACGAGCATGTAGTGACTTCTAGAGTCACTGCATGTATATAGGCAAGCTAAAGGAAAGCCCAGCCAAGTCTAGTCCATATCTTTCAACTTAACATCTGAGTTTCTGGTAATCACCAGGTGCTAAAATGAAAGATAAACTTCATTTCACTGAGACATGAACTTGCTCTTCCATACATTGATTAATCTCTTTCTTCACACGCAGATAGCATCTTGATCCAAGCTAACTTCAGAGCAGCTGTGCTTTATTGCTGCATCTTGAATTAATGTAGTTGGAGCAAATCAGATGTACTGGAACTGAAAATGAAAACCAACCTCCTGTTTAAAACATATTACCCATACCTTACATAAAGGCTTCTTCATCCACCTAAACACAGGCCAATATATCAAAGTAACTTGGGACAAGCATGGTGCTGCTTCTGTGGATCACAACATTGCTTCTGAGGTCCACAGGAACCTCAGTGGAAAAGAATTTGGACTTGATATCTACCCACTGACACTAAATATAACCTTCTGGTAAACATTAAAACTTCAAGGGATTTGCGGCTGATGATCATGTTGAACTCCAGGACATCCAGTTAAAGAATAGGGTGGAAAATATAAACGTGTAATGTAGGGGGAGGGGAAGGGTTTGAAATTTGGTGAAGAGAATAGCAAAGACACTGGTGACTAATGTTTTCTGCCTGGTTCAAGGTTTGTTGATTTAATAAAGATGAAGTATTCTTAAGGCTGATATAGCTTCACTGGTACTGTACCAAACACAAGAAACTATGATTTGCTCTAGGACATTATGTTTTAACATAAAACTTCCTTCTAAAATGCTGTACTCTGAGTGTATAAGGACAAAAGGTAGATGCTGCTTCCTTGGCTGTTCCATCTTGTTTCTTCCACTTTAAATAGGATAATTAGCATTCTCTGCACTGTATTTTTTGATGAGCCCTGAAATCTGGCTATACGTATCAGAAGGATTTCACATAGGGGATCAAACAGCTGCAAAAGAGTACCAGCTTTCAGTTCCTACCAGTGTGGCCTGGATTTGGTCCAATAGTAGCTGGAAGTCTCTGCATCCCTTTGCCATAGCGTAAGCTCAGCAATATAGTGTATCCTTCCTTTAAGCATGAAGAGCAATGCCTTTAGTTTCTGGGCACAGTATTGGACAAGGCCAAGCCAGTTTATAAAGCAGGTCAAATGCTACACTATTCAAATATCTCTAGCACTATCATCAGTATCTTCTAGCCTGCAGTACTGTTCTTAGCCCTCAGTTCATCCCTAAATATACCAACTTGTAGTACAGCACATGAAATAAGTTCCACTCCATAGCAGAAGGGGTCGGGTCTGTTTATTGTTTCTTAGTAAACAGGTTTTGGACTTACTGGGGTAGCTGTTTAAAGCACCTTGCATGTGTCCTTGGAGTACTTTCACCACTGCTTGGTAACATGATAGTTAATCACCCTATCCATCGGACAGATGGGGAGGCCGATATGTACATGTTACTTAACTAGTTCAGGGCTGCTGGAAAGCAGAGGAGACCCAAACCTCTTGCTCTAAATCAGTAAAATCAATTACATGTTTTGTAAAAACAAACACTTGCCAGTCCTGGAAGTCATAATTTGTTCTGTTAGCTTAATTCTTACTGTCATACAGACTTTTTTCAAACCTGTCACGATTTAAAGAGAGAAAAAAATCAAACCTTAGAAAATGTTCTGTAAGAGAAATTTAAGCCTGTTTAAAGCTCAGTCCAAACAGACAGACCTGTTGCCAATGAGGAGGGAAACTTGGCAGCTTGGCTTAAAGCTTCCCACACAGACACTGGAGACTCAAGAAAACAAAGAAGCTGTAGTCCCCGATGGTCCTGCCACTCCCAGGGCAAAGACAGTCCTTTCCGAGCTTATCCTTTAGCTCTCAGATGTGTGCATACTCTGTTCCCTCAGTTCCATTAGCTACAGCAATAACCGCTTAAGCCCTACAGACATGGGGAAAAAAAAAAAAAAAAGTACGGGAAATTAAGAGTTAAAAAAAAAGGAGGGAAAAGCCAACAAAACAACCCACCAAAAAAGGCAGAGAACTTGGAGGCAAGCCAGTGTCCCCGAATGACTCGGCTCAGCCCAGCCCCGAGCGACACTCCCCGCCGGCCCTGCCCTCCCTCTTCTCCCGCAGGGCGGTCATGCCTGGCCCTCCTCATTATCAGGAGCAGGAGTTCCTCTCCTCGGTCTCTAGTTGATTTGGAAACCCAGAAATACTGCTAAATTTATCTTTCACTTTTAGAACAATGGCAAATGTCAGCAATAAGAAGCCAAGAGAACTGAAAATTAATGGGGACAATTCCCTGCAAGCTGAGTGGAAGCACCTTTTCTTGCACAACTCCCAGGGAGGTGAAAAGCAGTTGCCCAGGGCAGGCTGCCTGAGGTGCCAGGAACATGCTGTTCTTTCAGCTGTGCAGGACAGGGAACTGTCCATCCAGATGCTCAAACTTGATGGGGTTTTCTTCTCACCCAGATCAGAACGTGCCCTCAATTTAGACGGGCTCTTTATCTCAGGAAGGCAACAGGAAAAGCTGAAAGTACACTGAATGTATGACCAGCATGGGTGAGGCTGCCACCTCTGAGCTACAACTGTTCAAGGGTCACTAAATCATGCTTAGTTCTGATGACCTTTTTCTTAATGCTCTTTTAAATGAAATGACCACAGATCTTAAACTAATTTGTTGTCTGAAATCACTCAGTGGAACAGCTTGCCTGTGCCTGCTCTCGTCAGTATGGTGTCTCATCATACATGCTATGATCGGGGCCTTTGTCAGAGGTTGGTCTCAGTTTTTCATGCTCCCTGACTGGCAGCCACCCTGTTCCCCAGCACCAGGCAGAAGCACGAGGTGTGGCAAGGCATGGGGCTGGTTTCAAAATGGCCTATCCTAACACTTTCAGTGCGTAACTTTCATGGTGCTTGCAAGGCTTCCACGTTTTGTATGTATATCTCATGAATCACAGTAACAACAAAAAAGTGGCTAATTCTTCACCAAAAAGTAAACACTGGACACTGATCAGAACAAGATAAGTGTTTGCATTCTAATGTCGCTTTTTTGTTTGGAAATTAGTTTTACCCAGCTGCCAAAAGCTTTTTTGCGACTGCGCATATCCCCCTCTCACTATGCTTATGATAAATATCTCCTTGTGACTCACATTCAGCTTCTCATCTGTTTTCCTGCCTACTCTAGCTTTCACACAAGTGTCTGCTAAAGAAAGAAACAGACACACAGTGTTTCAGGTGCCTCTGGAACATTTAATTTTAAAATATCAAGAGTACTGATGCTTGCATGGGAAGGGACAAGCTGGTGTAATGGTAGTGACAGGAACACAGGGTAGGAAAATGTAGATGGGGGAGGGAAAGAAGCACTGGAAAGGGAAGTAGAAGACACACCGGACAAGAAAACTAGCAGCTAACAATTACAGCTTGGTACAATCTACACAGATAACCCGCATGCCATTCCCTGTGATATTAAGTTATAGAAAAGGGGCAACATTAGCTCTGAATCTATGCGCAGACAGGTTTTGTTCCCAGAGAGGGTTTTGTTGTTGTTGTTCGGTTTTCCCAAGCTTGAGTTCTGAGAGGTAAAACCATAATGGTGGCCAAATACAAGTTGGGATTTGTTTTGGTTTTTTTTTCCACATTCATTTTAATTACCAAGCTATAACAAATAAATCTCTGGCTGGATTGTAACTAACCTGTGTGGGTCCTTAGATGAGCTTTAAGATGGGAAGATTTGCCATAAACTTTTTCACACCCCACATAGTGGCATTTGTGCTTTTTCTGGGGTGATCCAGGGTCAGTCCAGCTTCTCGTGCGTTTGTTCTTTTGTCTGGGGCTTGGCTCAGTTACTGCAGCCAGGCTAGTAGGTGTGGCCGCTCTTCCTCCTCCACGTTTACCAGCCGAAGACACACTTTCTTCCCCAAACTCCGTAGGAACCATAGAAATGTGTATTTGTTCTGTGACATCAAAGGTCTCAGGTTCTTCCATCCCTAGAGCGGGTGAGTTTGGGACATGCTGGTTCAGATCTGCTAAAATGCTAGCTACCACCAGTAACGTTGATCCATTGTCTTTCCCGGTCTCTCTGATTTCCCGCTTATCTTCTCCATTTGATGAAGGAGGTATTGCTGCATCAGGTTGGGGATCAGGCTCCCCTTTGGGACTATGGATAACGGCACGACTGGACATAGAAACAAGGCACTCTGCTGCAAAATGATCCACATATGCTGCTGTTGCCATTTTTTGTAAGTTTAAAAAGAAATCCAAACAGAAGAGGAAAAATTAAAACAACAAAAAACCACCAACCACAACGCTGCTCTTTCCCTTTTTAAAAAGACTATGCAAGCAGACCTTTCCTTCTCTTATTTCTCAGGATCTCTTGGTAGAAGGCTGATTTAGCAGCCACCAGAAACACACTTTGTTCGTGACGATCACACTCGGCTTGTCCCTAAATGAAGAAACAGCAGCGTTGGAAGTCCAATGGAAGAGAAGGAGAAGCGCAGGTCGATCCCGGCGCTGGCAGCTTGTTGCTTGGCGCATGAGTTAGTGCTGTCCTCCAGAGCGCGCGGCAGGACACGGCGGCGGAGCGCGCAGAGCTGCCATCGCGCGCTGTGTGACAGCAGGACGCGCTCTGCCCGCTGCCGCGCCGCGGAGCCGCCGGGCCCTGCGCGGGCGGGCCCGGGACAACATCTGGGCCTGACGTCACCGCCCAGCCACCGCCTGCGCCGAGCGAATAGAAGGACGCGGCCCATTGGCTGGCGGGGGGGCGCCGCGCACACCCCGGAGCCGCCCCGCGCCACAGGGCCGCAGCGCGCAGGGCGGCGGGCGCGGAACCCTCCGCCGGCGGGAAACGGGCGGGAGGGGTGCGGGCGTGTCGCGATAGAGTGGGTGCTGCGGAGGAGGGGGGGGGGCCCCCCCCCAACGTAAGAGGCACCCAGCGGCTGGGAGGAGAAGGTTAAAACCAGTACCAGTGACGGGAAAGAACGGGACGACGCCGTTTGGTGTGCGGCTGTACTGAAGTTGGTGTGTGATTTTAGCAGGTTGCGAGAGATTTCACTGTCACGGAACACACTTGAAATCGCGTGCCTGTCAAAACTGTAGCACTCCACTGTCTCTGCACTGTTTGAAAGTGCGAATGAAAATGCTTTTCATTATTCTCAACGTACAAAAGATAAGAGCTCAGCCAGTTTTACAGAGATTAATGCCTGAGAGTTGTATGAGAAACGCATCTGAACTCAGATCTGACAGCAGTCAGCCTGTGGTGCTTCTGACCGTCTGTGGGAATCTTTCTCCAGACTAAACCCTGCCTTACTACATACGGACCTTTCCTCTCAGACAGATGTGGTCAGAAAGCAGGAAGGCTTCTTTGGAAACATCTCTTTCTGGATGGAAAGTGTTGGAGTGTGAGGGGAAGTGAACATCTGCTGCAGAAACTCGAATAGTTCTGGTGTTAGGCTGAGTAGAAAGTTCATTTCATACACATGAAAATCTTACTCGGGAGCTCGTGCCACCACTAAACTTCATGACAAAACATGCTTTAGGTTCTCAGTTCCCCTCGGGGTCGGGCACGTTGGTAACCTGTGTCCACCACAGCTCTTCACACAGTGCAGCCACACCGCTGTGTGTGACTAGAGTCACCGTAGTGAAAGGGGAGTAAGTCACACACCAGTGGGGGAGGATGTGGTTTAATGCTGAATCGAGCCAGATCATTTTGATGCAGGCATGTCATTTTTTTCTGCTGAGCATACCTACAGGAAATGTTTGCATGTTTCCAAGCAAAAAGGTAGAGTTTGGGACTTGTCTGTTTGTTCCTAGTTGAAAAATGAATTCTGGAGAAAATTTTTATAAGATCATTTTTATAAGAAATTTCAGTTAAGCTGGCGTTCAAGCTCAGCCTCCTCCTTGGGGGAGAATAATTGCTTAAACAGACCTACCTGGCAATTCTTTAGAATTAGTAGTAGATTCAGAGCAGAAACCCCATATCTCCCCCACTTTAAGAAGCACGGGCCATTTTCAGGAGAATGAGGAAGGGACAAAGCTTAGGTATAAGTTCTCAATCCTTACCACAGCACCAAGGACAATTATCAGCAAGGGCACAGGGAGACCTGGACTACTCTGGTTGCCAACCACGTCCCACCTGGTTTTTCTCTAGCACTGACAGGGAGTTCCAGAGGCACCCTCATGCCCCTCTGCCCCACCCCACACTGCTGTGCCCCTCTCCTACCGCCTCTCTTCGATGCTGTCTTGTCTTACAATGTTCCTCCATAGCCTGTCGTGGCTATGCTGTATAGCAGCAGCTTCTCCAGAGCTTCCTGTGGCTCAGACAGGCTGGTGGGGCCAGCAATAAGCTCACCAAGCCCAAAGCATGTCTCCCCAGCATGAGGGGAGCCCCTGGCCAGAGCCAAGAGCTGTGATTGGCTGCTCTGCCCCCTTCCAGAACCTTCTGGAGAAGGCTAACCAATTAGGGAAGACCTTGCTTGCTGTGTGGTGTTTACCTCAGGAGAAGATTGTGTGGGTATTGAGTAGCTGTGGAAGTGTCTGTGTTTCCAGGGGTTATTGCAGTGACAGTCGGGTGTTGCCGGTGTTTTGCCCTCATCATGCGAATAGCCAGAACACAGCTCACCACATCCCTGGAGTCTCTGGCTGGAGGAGAGAGGTGCTGCACTGTGTACACAGCCAGGCCCAATGGCAGCAGGCAGACTGTGGAGGTAATGGTGTGCTATAGCTAATGGCAGGGGCCTTACCTTTATTTTTCAATAGACCTGTTATGTTAAAGCTTTGTCCTGGTAGCAGCTTTCACTGTATAGAAGTGCCTTCCATGTGAAATTAATGGCTGTAACCAAGTCCTCAGTAAACCTCATGAACTGCCTAGTACTTCTGCAGTTTCATGGTTCAGTGCTTGTTCTGGTGTCAGCCTGGGCATGTGGTGCACCGACTGTGCTGAAGGGCAGGCTCCTGAGGTGTGGAGGTTCAGAGGAGGAGAGTCCTTTCCATGAGAACTTATTCCTTCTTCTTGTTAGATGAACCCTTTGGATGCGACTTCTTCATTTGGGTAAGAGCAGTTGTGTGTTGTGAAGGTTACTTGTAGCAGAAAGGTTTTTTTAGTGTGAAACAAAAGTTAATCATATTCGCCAGATGTGTGTGTAACCCAGTGACTATAAATTAAAATATGCCTCTGACTTTGTAATAGCTGAGTAGAAGTAAAAAATAGTTCTATCTTGATTACTATCAGTGTGAGAGTCACTATCTCGTCACACATACAAGAGCAGAGTGCAGTATGTGTGTTTGTCATCTGAACATGAAAATTCCAGCTGCATAGTGGAACCAGCTTTGGCTTTTAGTGCAGGATTGAAAAATATTAAATGCTTCTGTGTGAACTAACTACCAAATAGCCCCCCTGCAAGCAGCAGGGGTGAAGAGTCTCTTTTATAAGAGATTTTGGTGATTATATTAGATCAGTAGTACAAAAAATTTTTATGGAAGATCACTAGGCAAAATACAGTGCCCATTTATCAACACTTTTTTGTAATGATAATATATTTACCTGCCTGTTTGTTCATTGTTACTATTTTTTTGCATATTTATTTTCTCTGAGCAAGGTGAAAAGTGAATTTGTGTAAGTACACAGGAAACCTTAAATTCACCTCTGTTGAATAGCCTGCAACTGTGAGCTTGTCCTCACCAAATGAGCTGAATTTTGAAACAGAGATTACCAGAAACATTTAATAAAAATAGATCCTACTTCCTTCTTTAATTTTCTTAATTTGGTTGTGTCGTTGATATATTCTCACCTGCAGGCTGAAGTGAGAATTTTTCCCTCTGTTATAGTACTGCTTTTCCATCCACTCAAGTTATGAAGCCTGGGTTTTGGCAGGAGATTTTAATATTTAGTGTTTTCTTTATATATAAGTTAATTTTGTTTAGCAGCAAATGCATAGCAGTAGAATATTTTTAATTGAATCCACCCTGTTCTGCCTCTCCCTAAATAGCGTACTCTTTTAAATTACATGAATAAGAAGCTCTAAAGTACCTTGTGAAATGAAAATATTTCTGTGAACTATATTAATAAGAACTTTAAACAGGACAGAACAAAGTTGTTATACAAATGCCAGATTTACTTAAAGATCAGGTGATGTTTTGTTTTGCATGGCAAAAATAATAAAGAAAATAGAGCTATAGCAATATTTTTAATCACTGGTGTAAAAAAAAACACTATTCCAGTTAAAAGGATGCTGTATCATCTTTCATGTAAGAAAAATGGTTTACTATTCCCAAGAACATGGTAAGATTTAAACATACAGTTTTATAGTAGCAGGCATTTCATCAGTCCTTTCCCTGCATTAGTTTGCTCAATAATTTATTCTGTATTTCATACTCTTCTGCTTTAAGTCCCATGAGTCAGACACACAAAAAGTGCAAACCACAGTTCTGTGGAGTTCAGTGAAGTTTCATTATTTTGCGTCACCTCAGAAAGCTTTATGAGAATGGAAAAAGTAAAAGGCCATGTAATCCCTCTCCCTATTTTAGTTCCTACACAGCAGCTGTAAAATTCAAAGATCTAGTTTCATTTGATTTTCGCAACGTAAATAGTTCCTTGTCCAATAAATTGAGGAAACAAGGAAAACATGAAATGGAGAAAATAGCAGACATCTCTGCCTGTGTTCTTGCAGTACTTGTATTCACAATCCTTTGTTTCGATAGAATATTAGTCTTTACTGATGCTTCCCTCTGGTTGCTGCTTAGTGGTTCCATGGTTTGAGGGGGAGTTCTGGAAAGAGCTGTGTATGAGTAATTGTTTGATTTCATAGCCATGGGAGTAAAGTGGGTACAGTGTAAAGCCTGTGGCCTTTACCTCTCTCAAAAGTAAGCATCCCTAATGAAGTCCCTTGTATTGTTATCAGGTTAATAATACTGTAGACCTGGTAGAAGAAAGGAATGGAAGGAGGGATGTTTGCATACCACTGTTCTTGCCACGGCTCCCAGTGACTTCATAGAGGAGGTATCAGATGTTCACCTGCATCTTCAGAATCCTTTTGGATTTTACTTTGGACAAGCCAGTGTGTTATAGCAAGTAATCCATATCAACATCACCAGTTGTTAAAGACTTGGACTGTAAAAAAAAAAAAAAAGCCTGGGAGTCTGCAGTCAGCAACTCTGACATTTCAGAAACAGTTCAAGCAGCTTTGGAGGGCTGAGAAAGCACTGTAAGCTGCAGTGACAGCAGTGTGCTGTGTCACTGAGCTTCCTGGACTGGCTGTGACAGCAATCAAAAATGTCAGAATAGTGCCAAAACAATGGTCTTGCCGTCTTTCTAGCACAGTTGAATCCAAACATGTTGGAAATCTCATTGAATTGCTTTAGCAAACTATCCTACTTGATTTTCAGTGTAATTTGATGAACAGAGACTTCTGAATTCCTGAGTATTATTCTTCCTCCATGTTGAAATTAAAGAAGTGCTTGATTAAAGAAGCAATGATTGCACACAGAGTGGCAGAAGACATTACTGGTGTGGCAGATAGAATGGAATAATTAGGAAAGTAAACTCTGAAGTAAAAACAAAAAAGCATTTTGTTACTTTTGGAAGCTGGGACACATAAAAGGCTGTTTTCTATACAGTATTATAGCAGATTGTGCTATTGTGTGTGCTATGGAAAAGAGTAATATACATGTAAAAATGTTCTTGCATTGCACATAGTGATTTAAATACTTATTTTAATTTCATCTGGTTATTTCTGTACTAGGAGGCTG